AAATTAGTTTGATAACAAGTGAAAGACAGTATTTTATGGAAAATCAAATCCAGTACAAAATGAAAGAGGCAGAACAGTAAAACATTCAGTACTATAAACAAGCAGGACAAAAGCCACTTGATGTTCAAATCAAAAGAAAAACTGGGGATGGCTAGTCCACACTCTCAGAAAACCATCATCCAGCATAGCCCGCCAAGCTCTCACATGGAACCTGCAAGTAAAACACAAAAGAGGAAAACCTCGGACAATGTGGAGAAGATCTACTGAGATTGAAGGACAACAGCTGAGGTACTCCTGGAGTCAGATAGAAGTTTTGTCTCAAGACAGAGTGAAGTGGAGGAGACTTGTAGATGACCTATGCTCCACTCGGAGTACAACGGTTTGAGAAGAAGACTATAAACATTTGAAGACAAATCTCAATTCTTATGTTTGTTTATTCTGGTAATTTTATATCTTGGTAACCCTGGGTAAGAATACCTAAGCATTCAATGATGATTTTTTGGTTCCACTAACAATTCTTAATCACGGTCACATACCTGAACAGACCAAAAGGGGAGTGCTTCCTCCTATGTTCAAACTACTAGCTCCTTCAAACCAACATCATCCCCTATTTTGTTACAAATGTTCTATGGTACCCATTCCCATTCTTGGCCTACAGCTTTCTAGATCATTTACCTTCAGTTGAGAATTAAGCATGTTATTCTATTCCAAGGCACAAAAAAACAACATGAAACTGATAACAAGGGTCTCCTAGTTCTAAAACAATTCTCTCAGAAATGTATTTGGCCTTTCTAACCTCAGTCAATTCAGTTTTTTTAAAAGTCTACAATCAATTCATGGCAAGTGCTCCAATCTATGCCAAAATGTTATGTTGATAAGTTTGAGAAAAACAACATTTATCCCTTGTCCAAAGTTCAGGGAAACATTTAAAGTAGTCTAGGAATGTTAAATTTACATTACTTAGCTAACTGAATAGTGGATGGGATTTCCATCAACTATTCGATCAGTCTACAAGGGTGCCTTCAGGGTAGCAAGAGCCCTACCAGGCTTTTGTGCATTTCAAAAGCAGAAGCCCCCCACTGGGAGCATGGGGTCAGCAGGACTCCACCACTAGCCCCACCTCCCTGAAGCGCCTGAGCCTTTGAAATGTACAAGAGCCCTACTAGGGCTCTTGCACATTTCAAAAGCAGAATCGCAGCAGAAGCGGCGCGAGCAGAGACTGCTTCAGTCCACGTTCGCACCATTTCCACTATGCCTCTACCCCTGCCCCCCGCAGAGATGGTGCTGGGGGGAAACCAGCTTTTAAGCCAACTTCCCCAGCACTGGCTCCTGCTGCCCCCCCCCCTCTGCTGCCTGTCTCTGATAGTCAACTAATTGCTTACATCCCTATAAGTAGACTATATATTTAGAATGACACTTTCCAATTTTTTTTTTGCGGGGTGGGGGGGGGGAAAGAAGGGAAGAGATAGAACTGGGGGATGAGATGGATCCTACTGTGCTAGAAGCTTTGCAAAGTATGAGACTAGACCTACAAGGCTAAATGCTTTACTTTAAATGCCATCATTAAATACAGATTTACATTCTTGATTTGGGTTCTTTTAGACCTGCCTGCTAGAAAAGAATGAATAAGTGGCATTTTTCATCAAGATTTTATTGTGATAAAGAGGTCTTTCTGCAGACACATTTGATATGCATTTTGTTTCTATAACAGCCTCTGCATCTGAAATGTTACTAAATTCTGACAGAATCTCTTCATCTGAATAAGGCAAAAAAAGGCTGCATGTCCTCACCCTTATTTTCTTCATATTATCAATACGAAGGGCTTGATTGACACAGGTCAGTGGAAAGGGGGATTCAGAAGTCGTCTGACAGTTGATTTCAGGCTTGGTTTTACAAGGAGAAAAAGTTCTGTCTAGTCTGGCATATACTCAAATATTTCTGGGTATTTCTTTAATATAAAATACTGGATCTCCATTTTCATGAATCTTAATATTCCTTCTTCCATAACATTTTGTATATATATTTGTTAATAATTTGGGTGCCACGGTGGCACACATCCAAACAAGCATACACAACCTTAATATTGGTGCATGAGACAAAAAAACTCACTCTGCTCATGAATGGAAAATCTTAGAGCGAATGCTGCCCATGACTTATTTTCAAATTTATGCACAGACTAATGCAAAGCTGATAAAAGTTGGTAAGAGGGAAAAAAGCATCAGGAAGTAAAAAATGTAACATTCCAACAACACCCACACACTCCCTTAGGCTAAGACTAAGGTCAGGTCTTCACTAAAGGGGATGGTTGAATTAAGATATGCAACTCCAGCTACATTAATTACATAGCTGGAGTCGACATACCTTGATTTGAGTTTCCCCACCAATGCCCACCACAGTAGGCTGACAGGAACAAATGCTCCTGTTGTCTTCCCTGATTCCTCCCAGGAGCAAAAGTACCAGCCGCAGAGTGACCTCTGAGTTCCATTCAGCAGCTCTTTACTAGACCTGCTAAATCAAACTCCAAAAGATTGATCGCAGCAGCATCGATCTTCCCTCTAATGAAGAGATGGCCTAAGTCTACACTGTCAATTTAGTGCACTGCAATGTTCTGGCTCAGTGGTGTGAAAACACATTCACACACACACACACAGAGCAAGTTCCAGTGCTGTAATGTGCCAGTGTAAACAGGCTCCCAGCACTGTTAGCTACTCTCCTCATGAAAGTGGTTTACATGAAGTGCTGAGAGAGCTCTCTCCCAGTACTCTTCTTGCTGTGGCCACTCTGTGCTTTAATTTTAGAAATGTTCACAAAGCGTTTTCACTGCTCTGAATTTTTATCTTCTTGAACCACAACTTCTGGTAATTCAACTGTGAGTAATACGTGGTTGTAGCCAAAGATTTCATACAGAGCAACCATTAAGACAGCAAATGTTAAGGCAACCAAGTCCACACCCACAGCATGCAATGCAATTTCTGTATTGGAAACTTTCCTTAGCTGTCTTTCAATTTTTTCTCTTAAGGCACATGCTAATATTTAGCCTCTTGTGAATATTTTCCAATCACTGATAAACACGCCCTGCATGTCAAATGAGTCACCAGTTACAGAGCATGTGGTGTCAAGGATAACAAGCCGGATTTACAATATGTCGGTAATTATGCTCAATTGTAGGCTGAAAGAAAGAAAACATGCTCTTTAAGACAAGCAATTAAAATGCAAGCTTCACATAAGCACCAAAGATCTTGATCATCAAGCACCAAATGGTCACAAGGCCACTCATTATGCCGTATATACACCATCATACTGTTAATATTTACAGAGAACGAGAAATACACGACACAGTGCTTGGGTTTGGTGGCGAACGCCCCCGCGTCCTTAGTGGACTCGGGCTTTTATGGAATGTTGCTTTTGTTTGCGTGTACAGTGGAGGGACTGAGGAGAAAAACCTGAAAGAACTGGAAACAAAGGCGGAGATCGTGGAGAGCGTTTGCGATGTATTTAGCATGGAGCAAAGACAGAGCACAAGGATCACTTGGCAAAAGTTCAAGTTGCTTCCACAAGTGTCCTCCGGCAGTAAATACCCAATCTGTACAGTACGTCCTTGAAGACATGTGCCATTGAAGGCTGTCTGATTCAGAGAACAGAGTCACACCATATTCTGGCAAGTGGTCTGCAGTCTAGAGCAGTGGTCCCCAACACGGTGCCCGTGGGTGTCATGGCACCCGCGGGGGCATTTGTGTGCGCCTGCCAAGTGCTCGGGGGCTGGCCTGGCCCCGGGTGCACAGCGCTTGGGGGGGGACGCGCCAGCCCCGGGTGCACGGCGCTTGGGGGGGCGCCGGCCCCAGGCACGTGGTGCTGGGGGGGCCCCGCCCCCACCCCAGGCGCGCAAGTGTCCCCGCCCTCTGGCGCCCTGTGGGCGAACGGCCACGCCTCCTGTCGCCCAGCAACCTCAAATGGTTGGGACCACTGATCTATAGGGCACACAAGTGTACCCGTCCTCTGGCGCCCAGCGGGCAAACGGCCATGCCCCCTGGCACCCGGCAACCTCCAATGGTTGGGGACCACTGGTCTAGAGGTTCTTTCAGAAGAGCATCTGAAGTTCTTCCTTAATCTAAAACCTTAGGGTATATCTAGACTACATAGACTACCCGACATAGTCAATGAAGCGGGGATTTAAATATCCCCCGCTTCATTAAAATAAAAATGGCCGCCGCGCTGTGCCAGCTCAGCTGATCATTGGCACAACACGGCAGTCAAGACAGGGATCGTTCGGCAAGGAAAACCTTTGCCGACCGATCCCTTATGCCTCCTGAAATGAGGTTTACAGGATCGGTCGGCAAAGCCTTTCCTTGCCGGTCGATCCCCGTCTTGACTGCCGTGTTGTGCCGACGATCAGCTGAGCCGGCACAGCGCGACAGCCATTTTTACTTTAATGAGGCGGGGGATATTTAAATCCCCACTTCATTGACTATGTCGGATAGTCTAATTTACATGCCTCTGCCTGCAGAGGCATGTAGTCTAGACATACCCTTAGAAGTACACAATGCAGAGTATGGAAACACACCCAACTGACCAAAGCAATAGGCATGTGTCATACATTCCAGGGTGGAGGAGGGGGGCACAGAAAAGAGGCTACATCTATGCACTGATAGACTTGGAGCTATACCATCTCCACCATGCTCCTTACCCCAAGCCTGCAGAATAAGCACAGGGAAAGCAGAACTAATGAGAGGACTCTATATGCAAACAGTACACAGTCAAGGGCCTGGACGTGGGATATTTTCAGGGGGGAGGGAAAGGACCAATGAGGCATCATTATTTCTCTGTAGCAACATTGCCCATCAAACCCAAGGAACTCCCTACGACAATGACAACAGGCTGTGCATGGGACTTGTACATCACTCCCCCACCTATGGAGTGAGGTGTGGGGAAGGAAGATGATGGAGTCATGGTCCATGGCAGCCTGGCTCTTGAGGAGACAGTGTTGCCAACCGGGGCCATACCTTGGGATCCATCCGGAGGAAGTTGTGCTGGCCACGGCTGCTGAGCGTCGAGCGCTTGATCGTTCTGCTGTGGTGAAAGTGGTAATAGTTCTCCAAGTTCCCGATCTGTGCCAAAAGAGCAACACGCACAGTGAGTCAGGGAAGGAGAAATCTCCCTCCTCCACGCAGCTCGAAATGCTCAGCTTTGCTTCGGACCTCCCCCGCCCAACAATCCCTGATTTTCAGACTTCCCCCCCCACCCAGCCGCAGAGCACACCGTGTCACCTGGCTGAGCGTCTGTCATGATCTATGAAGCAACTGAGCCTGCTCCCACTGCAGTCTCAGGCTCCTGAGGAAGCCATGCTGTCACTTTGCCATTGGTTTCTGTGGCAGCTGCGTCGGGCCTGTAATTAAGGATCCCAGGAGCTCAGAAATGGCAGTGACTCCAGCGTGCCTTTAAATTAAAAGGCAAAACCCAGACTCTCCCCAGAAAAGAATGGCAGAGGACACCACAACAAAGCAAAGCAAATAGGTGGGAGCATGGCACTAAAGCCGTTAACACTGCAGCAGCCGTCTTACCCACCTAGCAAAATACAGTGGCTTTACTATAGCGAGCTACCCGCAGCCAGCAAGGGAGCCAGCTGTGTTATGCGACAGGAGTTCCAGTAAAGCAATAAGGGGCCGGCTGTCACGTCAGGCAGGAGCTGCTACGCCCGAGCCAGAGAAACTTGTGAAACGCGCCACAAAGCCACAGCGTACGCTGTTGGCGCGCAGGGAAACGCTCCCTCAGGAGCACATTACAGTGACTGCAAATGTGAGACAACAGCCTGCATCTTTGGAGTTGCTTTAAACGGGCTAAGTGTGAAGGAATAGGGGGCTTTCTGGCGTGGTGGGGAGAGCCTTCCGGAACAACAGGCCCATCCCTTCAGAGAATCCAGAACTTAAATGCTTGGGGGAGGAGGGAGGCTGTGACCATGCACCTGGGGTGGACCCGATGTCTCGAGTCCCCAGCTCTACACAGTCCTGGGCGTCTCGCCCTCTCGAGTCTGGCCGACCAGCTCTTCCTCAGCTGGCGGCGTTATTCGTTCTATCAGGCGTCTCGTTGTCTCTCGAGTCCACACGAGACGGAGGAGAAAGGGGGGTCCGGGCCTGCCCTCACTCACGGGCCCCAGCCCAGGGCCCTAAGGACTTGGACTACACTGCAGTCCCAGTCCGGCTGACGGGGTGGTTACCCTAAACGCGTCAGCCCACGGGCTTGGTTCGCCGCTTTGCCCTGGGCTACTTCCTCTCTCCTTCCCGTCTCTCTTCCCGTGCTCGCCACCCCTCTGAGCCCTACCGGCTCATCAATTACCTCCTGCGGAGCCTCTCCGGGTGCCTCCCCCCCTCTGCTCGGAACGGCTTCCCCTGTGCCCCCCTACTTGCTGCCCGGGCGGCTTTTGAATCCCCCACTGCCCCGGACGCCCGGACGGACGTCACCTTGACGTCACCGGGGTAGCCCTGACCCCATGCCATCGTGACATGCGGTCGCCCTTCCCCAGCCGCGCCGCAGCACGGGAGCACTCGGCACACGGCCGGTAAGCGCTCCCCATCAGCGCCAACAGGGCGCTCACCCCCTGGGGTCCAGTGCAGGGTCTCGGTGCCCCGTCACAGAGGCCCAGAGAGAAAAACAGGGAGGACGGGTTGTAAGTCAGAGTGAAAACAAGACAGGGGGGGGGGAAGAGGAGGGCGTCACACAGCAGAGAACAGCCATGGGAACCACAATCCATTTTTCACACAAAAAATAGGTACAATCAGCCAACAGCTCTGTTCTGAAGGGACAGCCTCAAGGGGCTTTCTGGGCCTCTCTCCAGGGATTGCCACAAGGGCACTCCGCAGCACTAGCTGTTTGTGTGTGATGTGACTGAGCCCCCTGGCCAGCTGCCCAGAGGGCACCGGAGAATCTGACAGCGCAGTGATGCTTAGGTTCCACCGGACCCCTGGCTTACCAGGTGAGCCTGGCCGTGATTCATTCCAACTCAATACTGGTACATCGGGGGATTGAAGGAATGTAGCATTTAGAGACAAGTATTGCACAGGCCTGGCACTGGTTCTTGACAAAGAGGTGGACTTCACCCAGGGGGATTTTCAGAGGCCCATAATTCAGTCCACTGGAAGCCAGTTTTTACCAGAATGCTCAGAGGGATTTCAGAGTCAAATATCAATTTTTCGCCTCCACACTCCTGCTATGGAGCTGTTTAAAAGTCACCATAATTTTATTTCAACAGGGAATGTCTCTCCCCTCCCTCAGCTCTTATTACATTCAATAATGGCCACACTGATGGTGCTCAAATTTTCAGCAAAAATTCCATGGATGGAGACCAACCTTGGAACTTCTCAGTACCAAAGATGAAAGTTCAGAACGACTCAAAGCAAGAATAGAAATGCTAAGCAGGCTTCACTTTTGTGCTCGCTGATTTCTCCCACACAGCAACACAGAACCATAGAAATGCTGGAAGTTCATCTCATCCAACCTCCTTTGCTGAGGCAGGACCAAGTAAACCTATACTATCCCTGAGAGGTGTGAATCCAACCTACAGTGACAGGGGTTCTGTGGCCTCTCTTGGAACCCTATTCCAGAGCCTAACTATTTTTATAATTTTTTCCCCCAATATCTAACCTAAATCTTCTTTGCTGGAAATTAACCCTATTACTTCTTGTTCAAGCTGCTAATTATCCACAGTTAACTCAAGTGATTAACTCAAAATAAATTAAACAGATTAAAAAAATAACGGCAATTAATCAGTTTTAACCGCACTGTTCAGCTAAATCATATCAATTTTAAGTATTTTGGATAATTTTCTCCATTTTCAAATGCACTCGTTTCAGTTGTAACACAGAACACAATGCATACAGTGCCTACTTTGCAAATATACATAGTCAAAAATTATATGACTGTAAAAAAGATAAACAAAAGAAACCTCAGACAAGTATTGTAGTGCAATCTCTATTGTGAAGTTAAAATTTACAAATTCAAAACTTTTAATATAACTGCACTCAAAAACAAAACAATGAAAAACTTTAGAGCCTACAAGTCTACTCAGTCCTACTTCCTTTTCAGCCAATTACTCAAACAAGTTTGTTTACATCTATGGGAGATAAAGCTGCCTGCTTTTTATTTACAGTGTTACATGAAAGTGAGAACAGGCATACAAATGGCATGGTTGTAGCCCATGCGGGGAGATATTTCCTGTCAGATGCTAAACATTTGTATGCTCCTTCATGGTTTGACTTGTAGATTAAACTCTTTTTATTAAGAATTTGCATTGCAAAAAAAGTATACAGTGAGCACTGTGCACTTTGTATTCTCCATTGTAACAGAAATCAATATATTTGAAAATGTAGAAAAACATCGAAAATATTTTAAATTGGTATACTCTGTTATTGTTCAACAATGTGATTAATACTGCAATTAGTTGCAATTATTTTTTTTAATTATTTAAGAGCCCTACTATCTTTGTCCTATTTTGACATGACATGGAGAATACTTTTGCTGCTCTCTGTACAACTTCCTTTAATGCAGGGGGTCTCAAATTCCCAGCCATCTACAAGCTGGAGCATATTTAGAATCTGGCCCAGGTGACCTGGTGGTCCAGGGGGCATGGAAAACAGTTTTGGACCACCCCAAGCCCTGCCCCTTCCTACACCACCCTGCCCCCTCCCCCACACCATGGCACCCATTCTCCCAAGGACCCAACGGAAGAGATTACCAGGGCGGGGGTCTGCTGACCACTGCTGCTGTCCAGCACTAGCCCCCTACCAATCCCCAAAGCCAGGTCCCTCAACGGACGAGGTGCCATAGGGGGAAGAGGATGGAGCAGTGGCAGGAAGGGGTGGGGCTTACAGATGGGTTTGGACTCATTAGGTTCTTACTCGACCCTTTTCCTTTTATTTTCGAGCCTCACGTGTCCAGTATTTTTTTAGCCTTTCCTCATATGTTTCCTGACACTCTTATTTTGGTTGCTCTTCTCTGGACCCTCTCCAGTTTGTCCCCATCTTCCTTCAAGCATGGCCCCCAGAACTGGGCACAGCACTACAGTTGAAACCTCCCACATGCCAAGAAGAGCAAACAGAGGTCTGGTACGCCTGTTAACGCATGCCAGAGTGACTGCGGGGGTGGGAGAGAGACAGAGAGGCATCCAACCGCACCTTGTTAAAAAAAAATTTAGCCTGGAGCTCATTAAAATGAATTACCATCCCCTTTTAAAAACTAACAGCAGCCATATATTTTGGTGGAGCTGCCAGGGAAAGCTGCCGTGGAAAGTGCTTGCCCGGCACTAGTGTGGCTGTAAGAAGGGGTGCACTAGGCCTTTGCTGGAGACCTCAGTGCCTTGCCGCATGCACCCCAGAAAAGGAGCAGTAAAGGAGTCCTCCAAGTAGCCAGAGAGGCTGTAATTTGACTTCCCTTTTACACATCAGGGGGAAGCAGCCAATCAGGGCCCCGGCAGGCCATACAAAAAGAAGCCGCAGAGCTAGAGGCACTCAAGCAGCCTGCTCACTAGCCTAGGTTGCCCTGGTTTAAAGACTGCAGACACACCTGACCACAAGGGATGCTCGCGAGAGGTGAGTGCCACACCATGATAGGAGGACTAAACACCGATCCCAGATTATAATCCCAACTCTGGGCCTTATCCAGAAAAGCAATTAAATACGACTTTAACCTATTAATCCCACTGACATCAAAGTGGGTTAGTACCCTTTAAGTCAGAAGCACTAACTTACATGGTTGTACCCACAAAAGCTTGTGATACCATCTACGTGTTTTGTTAGTCTTTAAGGTGCTGCAAGACTATCCGTTGTTTTTTAAGTTTACACATGCTTACCGTTAGCGACAGAATTAAGCCCTTTACTGCTGCATCACTGATTTGTAGCATGCATTTGGACCACAAACATTACACTACAGCAGGTCTACACTAGAAACTTCTGCCAATGCAGACTTATCCCTTAGGAGGAGGATATTTGTGGCAACTTTTCTAAGACAGCAAAAGCCCTAGCGAAGATGTGGTACAACGGATGTAGAGCTGCTTTTGCCAGTGCTCCATCCCCTTCTTTGCCTTCCCTGGTTAGCAGCTGAAATGATAGGGAGTGAC